GGGCTGTGGGTGCGTGCTGTCGGATGGGGGCCCCCGCTCGAACGGGAGCGTTCCCCAGGGTCCGACAGCCCGCACCCATACCCATGGCCAGTCCTCCTCTCAACGACCCCCCTTATGGGTAGGGGTGTGTGTGCTGCTCGCTCGTCAATATAGAGCGAGATGAGCATCCCGAAGTGAGCTCTTCGGCGCTCTGGCGCCTCCGCTGCGCTCTCCGAGAGGGCCGCGCCCCGGCGCGAGCCGCGGCGCCTGCCCGCTCGCCCGCGAGCGCCAGGCGCCCCGCGCCCCGCCGCGGCGCGGAGGCGCCGCGCCCGGCGCCCGCGAGGCACGGCGTGCCCCACGGGAGCCCGCCGCCGCGAGGCGCGGCGCCGGCGCTCCCGACCGCATCGCTCGGTGAGGGGAGCGCCTCCCCCTCCTCCTCCTCCTCCTCCTCCTCCTCCTCCTCCTCCTCCTCCTCCTCCTCCTCCTCCTCCTCCTCCCCCCCTCGAGTCGTGCAAAAAGCGCGACGGGAGGACTTTCCCATACCTTCGGCCTCTGGGGCCCCCCCCACCGGGCCTCGGGGCCGTCGGCAAAAACGCGGCAGGATGAGAAACCGGTCCCGGAGAAGGGGTCGAGACTCTCCTGGGGGTCGACGTCAGGAAACGAGATCCTGACGTCGGGGGTCTGGGCCTCCTCACGCGCCCCCCAGGGCGGGAGGGGACAGCGAGGCACGGACGCAAACCAGCGTCGATGTCCCGGGCACGAAGGGGAGAACGCCTGTTGGGAGAGGCGGGGCAGACGAAGGCCCCCCGGCAGGATGGGGGCCTGTGGGGCAGCCAGGGCGCCGTGCCCGCTCCTCCGTGTCTCCCTGGGCCCCTGTTTGCCGAGGGGAAAGAAGTCAAGCAGCGGGGGCTGCGATGAATGTGGGGGGGGGGGAGAGCGGTGCACCTCTCCCGTGCCCGCGAGGGGGCGCACGGGGGGGGGCACGAGAGGTGCCCCCCCCCCCCCCCCTCGCATCAGCTGACGCCCGACCCAGCCCCACGACGTCATGATCTGCTCACGACGCCGGCCCCCAGGGGCCTCGAGGCCGAAAGTGTGGAGGAGAGCCTCCCGTCGCTATCGAAGACAGCCGGCCAAAAAGCCCTCCCCAGATAGATCGACGACACGGACCCTCGAGGCGCTGGGACGTCCTCCCGCCGTCACCGAGCCTGGAGAAAAAAAAACCCTCCCAGATCGAAGCCGTGGAATGCCGCAGACGCCCGAGGAGGGGCACCCCCCCCCCCCCCCCCCGCCGCTGCCAGAGGCTCCGGGAGCCTGCCCTTCTGGGTCTTCGTGCAGCTCATGCGCCTGGTCTACTCCCGCGAGGCCGCCCGCGGCGCCCCCCCCGCGGGGCCTGCCGCGGGAGGGCCCTGGGGGCAGCGATGGGGGGGGGGGACGGGCTCAAGGGGGGGCCGATCTGTCGGCGGTGTATCGGTGATTCCAGGTCGATGTTGTTGGTTTGTTTGTTTGCTTGCTTGCTTGCTTGCTGGCTTGCTTGCTTGCTTGTTGTTGCTGCTGCTGCTGATGTTTTGGTTGTTGTTTTTGGTGATGGTGGTGTTGGTGTTGGTGTTGTTGGTGGTGTTGTTGTTGCAGTTGTTGTTGCTGCTGCCGTTGTTGTTGCTAGTGTTGTTTCTACTTGGAATGTCAGTATCGTTGTTGTTGTTGCTGCTGCGGTTGTTGCTGTTATTGTTGCTGTTGTTGCTGCTGGTGTTGCTGCTGCTATTGTTGTTGGTGTTGCTGTTGTTGCTGCTTGGCATCGCACGGACGTGTGCGTGTTTTTTCTCGGCAAGTCGAAGAAGAAAACAACGCCATACACATAAACTTGTGGCGCTCCGCGCGGATTTCTTGAATCCGCGCGGGGCCCCCCCCCGGCGTCGCCTCCGGCGCCGCCGCTGGCGCGCTCCGCGCGCCAGGGAGTGGCGTCCGGCGCAGATCCAAGAGATCCGCGCGGAGCGCCGAAAGTTACGCTTGCGGCGTTTCTTCTTTGTCTATTCTCGGCAAGGGCCCTCGAGGAGCACGTGAAGTCCTCTCGCGGGACAGCGCACGCACGAAGCCGACAAAGGCGCAGGGCATGGACGTCCGAGCGATGGCGAGGGGGTCGAAAAGGAGAAACAAATGCACAGCCATGAACGTTTGGAGCTCCGCGCGGATTTCTCGGGTCTGCGCCTGGACCCCGCCTGGCGGCGCCTCCGCGCGCCGCTCTGGACGCGCTCCGCGCGCACAGGGAGGGGAGGGCCCCGCGCAGCTGCGAGAAATTCGCGCGGGCCGTCGAAAGTGTACACCTTAGGCGATGGTTAAGAAAACCAAAGTTTTCGGCCAGAGTCTCGATTATTCTTAATGTTTCCATGTACATCCTAAGATTTCGATGGAAATTCTGGGCTTCTACTCAAGTTCTGAGACTATGAGTTTCTTAACCCATGACTTCTTAAGCATTTCGCAGGGTGTATGCCTTTGCCGGGATGGCTCCTCAATGGGAGAGGGGGGCGGGCGTCGGGGTGGTCGTCGGTCTGGGCGTGTTTGCCGGTATTTGGCGACGGTTGTTGTCGGTCCTGGGAGCGTTTGTTGCGGGCGTGTCTCGGGGGTTCTCATCGGCGTGTTTGGTCGCCTCTCGCAGAACTGCCCGGGCTGGGCTCCAGGAGGGGGTGAGGGGGGTAGCGCTATGCAGGGCGGTCTTCTGACAAAACGCCCCGCCTCCCATAGACTCGGAGTAGGAGGGTGGATGAGGAGGGAGAAGGAATGGGAAGAGGGGGATGAGTTGGATGGAGGAGGAAGCCAAGCATGGTGAGGAACGGGGAGCAGATGACGAGGAGAAGGAGGGAGGGGATGGGAGGATGAAGAGGAGGAGGAGGAGGAGGAGGAGGAGGAGGAGGAGGAGGAGGAAGAGGAGGAGGAGGAAGAGGAATAAGGAAGGAATGAAGAGACGGAATAATATGAAGAAGGGAGTGCCAGGAGGAGTAGGGAGGAGGAAGGATGGGGTGAATGAAGGCTGGACAAGGAGGAGGAGGAGGAGGAGGAGGAGGAGGCGAAGGCGGAGAGCAGGAACGGAAGAGGGGAAATCAAGGATGACCAGGGGTGGAACGAGGTGGAGGAGGACCTAGCAAGCGAACGGATTCGGGGCACCGCTATTTGTGGGGTCCTGGGGTCTTCCTTGGCTGTTTCTTGTGCCCCAGGGTGTATTAGGAAGAGGAGGAGGCGGAGGAGGAGGTGGAAGAGGAAGCTGAGCAGGGCCCATCGTTTCTTCTTGGGGGACCTAGAGAATGCCAGGACAGAAGGGTTTTTTGTTCGAGGCCGCTTTTCCTCCGAGATCCTGACAGAGACGCGCACTCGGTTTTTCCCTTGATCCACTTGTCTAGTAGCTAACGCGCTGGAATACGGAGCATTGGTCCGGAAGGAAATGGCCGCTCCTCAATCTATCTTTAGGGGCCCTCGCGGAAGACTTGAGTCTGGTTTTGTATAGAGGGGTATTCGGGATATCTTCAAGACTCTTGCAAATAAGTCTTCTGACTGTATGGTTCTTGCCTGCCTTGTCGAGCTTGGCCGTGGACGAGGAGGGGGAGGAGAAGGAGGAGGAGGAGGAGGAGGAGGAGAAGGAGGAGAAGGAGGAGGAGGAGAGGGGAAGAGGGCAAAGAAGGGGCGATGACCAAGGAGGAGGAGGAGGAGGGGGGGGAGATAGCAGGGAAGGCCGAGAGCGAGGCGGAGGCTGCCTCGCTGGCCCTCGCCGCCGCCACCCGGAAACCGACCGAGGACTTCAAGACCCTCACGCGGGAGAACCTGGCCGTCGAGGAGACCGGCTTCGCGCGGGGCGAGGCCCCGATCGCCTGCTCGCGAGAACCGGGTCGACCTGCGCGTAAGAGTGATCTTTCGCAGGAGTGACCTTCTGGTGCGCACGCCCCCCGATCGCCGAACGCGGTGCGGCAGCAGCGTCCACGCGCTTGTTGTGTGTGTGTGTGTGTGCTTGTGTGTGTGTGTGTGTGTGTGTGTGTGTGTGTGTGTGTGTGTGTGTGTGTGTGTGTGTGTGTGTGTGTGTGTGTGTGTGTGTGTGTGTGTGGGCCCCCGCCCCCGCGGCCCCCAAGAAGCCGCGCACCAAAGGTCGCTCGTAACTGCGGTCACCCTTGCGTGTAGCCGATCGTGGCCAGCGTCAGGGGGGGGGGGGCATGGGCTCAGTGGGAGGTGCATCGGCGCCCAGTCGCCCACTGATCGCCGATAGGCCGCTGCGCCCGCCCTAGGGGGCAACGTTACACCGGGGGGGGGGGGGGGACGGGCTCAGCGGGGGGCTCACCGACCCCCAATCGCCCAATCGCCCGATAGCCCACACCGCCCAGAAGCGTTCGGCTGTTCGCTGTCGGGAGTGGAGTTTGAGGACGAGGCCCTTCCAGCGAAGAGGGAAGAGGAAGAGGAGTATGAGGAGGAGGAGGATGAGTAGGAGGAGAATGAGGTGGATGAGGAGGAGGAGGAGGAGGAGGAGGAGGAGGAGGCTCGGGGTGAGGTCCTTCGAGCGAATGTGGAGGAGGCGGAGGAGGAGGAGGAGGACGAGGAGGAGTAGGAGGAGGAGGAGGAGGAGGAGAGGGAGGAGGAAGAGGAGGAGGAGGAGGAGGTGGAGGTGGAGGAGGGCGCAGCCGGGCGCGCGGAGCGGGCGGCGAGGACTTCTGAGGCACAGCAGTGGCTGCGGCAGCGGCAGCGGACGTGAGGGTGAGAAGAGAATGGGAAATATCAGGGGTATGGGGGAGGGGGGAGAAGGTTGGAGGAGGAGCTGAGGAGGAGAAGGAGGAGGAAGCAAGCAAGTTCGAGGAGGGTTGGAGGAGGAGGTAAAGAGGGGCAGCAGGATGCAGAGCAGGAGAGGTTGTAAACGCTGCGATCTAGCGATCTGGGTCCTTGCAACGCAAGAAAGAAGCAGCGGTTGGAGGAGGACGAGCGAGTGGATGAGGAGGAAGAGGAGTCAGGAGGAAGAGGAGGAGGAGGCGGAGGACCCGTGTAAACCCAGACACACTATCGATGTTTCCATGAACCCTCCCTCCAAGTTCCCTCTTTACGGGTACTTGCACGAACTTAGGTTTATTCCGGGAAGCGCCCCATCGGAAGACAACCGGTTGAGAATCCCCAGCGGTGCCAAAGCATAATTCCTAGGACTTCAAAGGCGGGGATCGACATGATTGCTGCGTCCTGGCATTCCTCAATCGCGGCAGAACACCATTACTCGGTCTTCATCTCTGCGAAGCAACGTGGCTGTTGCGTCCTGACAATCCTAAACCGTGCCAGAGCACGTTTCCTGAGATTTCGACCGAAGGATTCCTTGGAGCTGTTGCATACTGCTCAGACGAACGTTCGCTGCGCTGAGGCGAGAGCCACATCTGAAGAACGAGCCGCTCTTCATCGTCGACACTGCTGCGAACTTGTATGACGAGTGTGCGCGGCTAATGCGAGAGTCACAGTTTTTAATCCTCCCGCTCTCCATCCTCGAAGCTGTTTCAAATGTCAAGCTTAAGGATCGTCTTGCAAACACGTTTGGGGGTTCGACATGGAGACTTGATTCATTAGTACAATGGATGGGGGCAGTTCGGATGCACCCATTGGACCCTCCCACCTCCGGCAGGCAAGAGGAGGAGGAGGAGGAGGAGGAGGAAGAGGAGGAGGAAGAGGAGGAGGAGGAGGAGGAGCAGGAGGAGGAGGAGGAGGAGGAGTCCCCTGAGAGGGATCGACTCGTCAGAGGCTCCAGAGGCTTCAGAGGCTTCAGAGGAGGAGGAGGAGGAGGAGGAGGAGGAGGAGAGGAGGAGGAGAGGGAGAAGGAGAGGACGAGGAGGAGGAGGAGGAGGAGGAGGAGGAGGAGGAGGAGGAGGAGGAGGAGGAGGAGGGGGAGGGGGAGACAGAGGAGGGAGGAGGATGAGGAGGAGGAGGAGGAGGAGGAAAAGGAGTGCAGAGGAGGAAGAGGCGGTTGGGCTGCCGGGATTGGGCGGCTGCAGGAGGCCAGCCGGCCGGCGGCGGAGAGGGGCGGCGGCGCGCCCTGGGCAGGTGGAGCAATTCCGCGAGATCTTCGCGACGGCCCTGCGGCAGACGCAGGCGCGCCGGGCGCGCCCACCCGAAGGGGGCGCCTCGGCCACCCTCAGGGGCAACGTGGGGGGAGGGGAGAGGCGCAGGTGAAAACGCATCGACCCCCAATCGCCCACTCCTCGAGCAGGGGGGCCGACAGCCCGCCCAGAAGCGTGCGGGCTCGCTCTCGGGGCCCTGTCGCTGATCTATCGGCGATGTGTCGCCGATTCCGGATCCATGTTCCCCCTCCTGCCATTGCCATTCACCATCGGCCACCCAGCTCGGCGGTTATTCCCAGCCATCCTGTGGTGTTGGGTCCTCGTTTTGAAGAAACAGCGCCCCCCGCTCTATGTCCTCTTCCTCCTCCTCCTCCCGCTGCCTCCCTCCTCCTCCCTCCTCTCACCCCTGCCTGTGCCCTCCGCTCAAGACAGCCGCCCCTTTTTTTAGCCTGCGCAGCCATCGGTCTTCCTTTCGCTTCAATCCCCAACCATCCTGTTGTGCTGGGTCTTCGTTTTGAAGAGACAGCGCAGCGCCCCGTGTCCCACCTCCTTCCGCCTCCTCCCTCCCATCTCTGCCTCGGCCCCTCGCGGATGTCAACTATCGTGGCGCACCCCTCACGCGCTTCGTGGCACCATACTGCGCCGATCCAAAAGTTACCCCCATTTCGCCACCGTGCTCGCCGCGGCCATCTGGGGTGGCGCGCGCGCAGGATAAGACTCGCGGGGCCCGAGGGCGGATAGGGGCGATGTCGCCAGGGCAGAGTCGGCGCGCCGATGGGCAGCCCAACCCCCCGTTTGGCTGGAGGGGCCAAGTACAATCGAAGGGCAGAGCCTGAACCCCCGCCCGGGGTCGTGGGATCGGCCTCCCCTTTCCCAACTTGATTTTTTAATCCCAAGCGGTGTACTGCCCCGAAAATGAGCAAACGGCGTAGGACTTCCTCGAACAAAACCTTCGTGTTCTGTTATACGACGACCCGACAAGTTTATCGGCCATCCTGAAGGTGGCCAAATCTCATAGGACTTATACCAAAAAGTGTCGGGCCCAGTTCGAACGACCCGACGATGTGCAAACCGCATCAGATTCCTTGCAAAAACATTGTTCTCGAGGTCTTCGGGCCCACTCCGAAGAAACCGAACATGGGCAAACCGCCTGGAACTTCCTATCAAAAAACGGTTTCTCTGTGATTCCGGGCTTTGTCCGAAGGAGCCGACGATGGGCAGACCTTTCAGGATTTCCTGCGCAAGAAACGGTTTCCCGGGTGAGCCATTGTTAACGGGAACGCGCTCCGCGTGGGATCGTGGTTCGCACGGGGGCGCGGCTGCTCTCGCCTGTCCAGGGGGTACGCATTGCCGCGCCCTTCCAGCATAGCCTGTGCGCTGCATTCGCGCGGCGCCGTGCCTTTCAAATCAGAATAATCATTTCGGAGCGCCGATGTAGGGAACTCCACCTAAAGCCCCAGTGGTGCAGTTCGCATGTGGGCGTCACCCCCGTTTCGGCGCACCCCTCACACGTTTCGTGTCCCCATAGGGAGCCCCAGTAAAAGTCCCAGTGGCACAGTTCGCATGGCCCCATAGGGAGCTCCAGCAAAGGTCCCACAGGCACAGTTCGCACGTGGGCGTCGCCCCCGTTTTGGCATACCCCTCACACGTTCGTGGTTCCATTGGGAGCTCCACCTAATGCCCCAGTGGTACAGCTCACATGTGGGCGTCACCCCCCGTTTCGGCGCACCCCTCACACGTTTCGTGTCCAGCAGAAGTCCCAGTGGCACAGCTCGCATGTGGGCGTCACCCCCGTTTCGGCGCACCCCTCACACGCTCCGTGGCGCCATGGGAAGCTCCAGCTGAGGCCCCAATGACACAGTTGGCATGTGGGCGTCGCCCCCGTTTCGGCACACTCCTCATACGCTTCGTGGCCCCCTCGGGAACCCCAGCTAAGGTGAGGCCGACGCAGTTCGCGTTTTGGCGTCGCCCCCGTTTCGGCACACCCCATCAAAGTTCCGTGGTCTCATAGGGAGCCCCAGCTAAGGTCAAGGTGGCACAATACGCACGCATGTGGGCGTCACGCCCGTTTCGGCATACCCCTCCCCTCACAAGTTTAGCGGCCCCATCGGGATTTCCACCCACGGCCCCAATGGCACACTTCGCATGCGGGCGTCGCACACGTTTCGGCACATCCCTCACGCGTTTCGTGGCGCCGTCGGGAGTTCCACCCGAGGCCCCAGTGACGCAGTTCGCATGTGAGTGGCGCCCCCGTTGCGTCGTCGTTGTCTCCGACGTTCAAGGTTGAACGCCCCTTGGAGCGCATTCGAGCGTTTCGAATCACAGAGACGAGCTCGCGTCGCGCAGCCGATATTGAAGGCGGGGTCGAGAGAGCCTCGGGCTCTCATTCGAGGTCGAGTTCGAGGCAGGACGATCCGCGCGGCGGCGCCTTCTGCAAGCGCTGGGGTCGTCGTGACACAGTTGGGAAAACTGTTGCGTGTGGATCCGCGGAGGCCCCGCCCCATTTCGAAACACCCCACACACTTTTTGTGGCCCTCTAAGGGGGCTCTACCTCAGGCCCCAGTGGCAGCGCTCGCATGGCGGCCCCGCCCAATTTCGGCACACTCTTCATACGTTTCGCGGCCCCATAAGGAGATCCACCGAAGGCGATACTCACATCGACGGCACTCTCAACTGCATATGGTCGGGCCCTTCGCCTGGATGATTTCATCGTTGGTTTGTTGTGTGCTAGATCTCGGAGTCGGTTTCGCCGATTTGTCGTTCGTTTGTTCGTGTTGCTCCTCGGTTCAGGCGTTCCCCCAGGGCGATTGAGCAGGGGGCCCGAGTTCCTGGCAGCAACCGCGTTTTTAGGCAAGGGCAATTGGTGTCCCCGTTTTGGCTGTGAGTTTGGATCTGTCGAAGGGTTCTGATCGTGTGAATTGGTCGGTTCTGTGGTCGGAGTTGCCCCGGCACGGTGTATACCCGAAAACCTCTTATGGCCATTGCAAGTGGTCTACGAGAACCAGGCCGGGCAGTTGACAGGCAACTCTCAGCGCAGCGACCAGTTAATAATTCGACATCCCAGCTGGTGTCCGGCTTGGCTGCGCCCTCGGCCCCAGACTCTCCAGCTGTCTTCTTTGGAGAGGGTACGGCCCCAGACCCCCGACGTGAAGTAGGATTTTTCCATGACGCCGACCCTCGGATGTCTCGACCTGTTCCCCACGACCCGTTGCTCATACTGGGTGGTTCCTAGACGGTCCCGAGGCACGGCCGGGGCTCCCGGACGCCGAGAAAATGACGAAAAACATCTCGGTGCCGCGATGCTGCATGACTTGGCGCCTGCCACGCGGAGGGCCACCGCTGCGCTAGCGCCCCGGTGGAGACGCGGCTTTCAGGGGCAACGTCGGGGGAGGACGACGACGACGATCACGACGACGACGACGACGACGACGACGACGACGACGACGACGACGACGACGACGACGACGAGGGAGTGTGTCCCACCCGCCCTTGCGCACCGCCGAGGAGGAGGCGATGTCCAGGCGGCCCGGCGACCCCTGGGAGGCCGACACCGCGAGGAGCGCACCAGCGACGCCTCTCGCTGTCGGCGGTCGGTCGGTCGGTCGCCGCCGTCGTCGGCGGCCGGCCGCCGCCGTCTTCGGCAGCAGGTCGTCGCCGTCATCGTCGGCAGTCGGTCGTCTGTCTTGGGTTCGGTCGTCGGTGTCGTCGTCGTCGTCGCCGTCGTCGCCGCCGTCGCCGCCGTCGTCGTCGTCTTCGTCGACAGTGCGCCGCTGTCGGTCGCATGGCGCCACGACGTCGTCGTCCTCATCGTCGTCGGAGGAGGAGGCAGGAAGAGGCAGGAAGAGGAGAAGGGGGAGCAGGAAGAGGCAGGAAGAGGCAGGAAGAGGAGGAAGGCAGACCGATATCGCCGTCATCGTCGTCGGAGGAGGAGGCAGGAAGAGGAGAAGGGGGAGGAGGAAGGAGCACGACAGGGGCAGGAGCAAGGTGAGCAGGATTTCTCGTCGGCCCCCTGTTGCCCGACCTCTTGGCCTCCTGCCTTTCTGGCCGCCTTCTTTTTCCTCCCTCTCTTCCCCATCCGTTCTCCCCCGGCTCCCAACCTGCATACCTCCCTCTCTTCTCTCCTTCCCTCCCTCCTTTCTATCCCGCCCTCTCTCCCTCTGTCCTTGCCTCCCTCTTCTTTTCCCGGTCACACCCTTCTGCGCTTCTCAGCAGCCTTCGCGCAGCCAAATCGACAGCGCAGCCTCCGAGAGAAGGCCAGGATTTGTGGCGAAACCTCGTGGGATCGAGACCCCCAGCAGGAGTAGGGAGAACGAGGAGGAGGACGGGGAGCAGGAGGAGGAGGAGGAGGAGGAGGAGGAGGAGGAGGATCGATAAACGATGCTTTGCGGTCCCATTGTTCCCCCCGTTTCGCTTGTTTAGGCCTGGGGGGGGGGTCTAAATTTCGCTTGTTTCGCTTGTTTAGGCCTTGTTTCGCTTGTTTCGCCACGGCCAGATCAGTGTCAAATCTCCAGCCAGAAGGCACGGGCAGGAGTTGTCTTGGGGCCTACGGACCATGCCATCAGTTGCGGAGTTGGGAAGCCTTCTTCTTGGCTGGGGGGTGAAGGGCCCACCCCAAGTCGCGTCGCACTGTGCAGTCCCCCGCAGTGCTCGCCCGATACGAGTGAAACAAGCCCATCCCGTCGGAGTTCGCTGCGTGAGGTCCTGCTCTCTGGTGGCACGCCCTGCCTCCACGCTTGCACAAAGCGACCGAAGGTATGAAGCTGAACGACCACGTGCTGCTCGCTCAATGCCGCCCCGTGGCCACGGAGGGAACACGTATACTGTTTGGCGATTCGCAGTTTCCACCTACCTCTTTCTGCTCAGCGTATCAGATTGCGCTGGGACTATGCGCACCCAGTTGTAATACGGGATGGCCCCCTCGAGGACACCGGCGACCAGGCCGAGTCCTCAGACCCCCTTCTCCTGTTTTGGCTTGGTTCGAGATCCCTGTCTCTTTATTCCTCTCGGTCCTGGGAGAAGCGCACCGACGCCGCCTCTTGTCGCCGTCGTCGCCGCCACTGTTGTCGTCGCCGCCGCCGCCGCTGCCGTCGCCGCCGTCGCCGCTGTGGTCGTCGTCGTCGACAGTCGGTCGTCGCCGTCGCCGCCGCCGTCGTCGATCGACAGTCGGTCGGTCGTCGTCGACGGCTGGCGGCGATGGCGACGACCGCTCCTCCCGCTTGCCGGCCACCGTTAGTGCCTCCCGCTTCCCAGCGCCCGCTTGCCCCCGTCCTGAACCTCTATTCGCCAGTGCGCTCGTGACGACAGGCCTCCCGTATCAATACGTCAGGACGCAATTCCTGGGAGACGAAATTCGGCATAGGCGCTGGTAGATCCGGTGCAAATCCGACATGATCCCGCTCAGTTCCGCTGCATTGGCGTACATCGGGTTCAATTTTGCTTCGGTTGCGAAGAACTCCAAGGAGCTGCATGAATACTGGGAGGCCTGATGCGCTGAACGCCTGGGCGAGGTTTGGATAACTACACACCCAGACTGACCCGACGCTTTCGGCAACCGGGAGCCGTGTCCTGGTCTTGGGGGCGTCAGAGAACGTCTCACAGGATGAAGGGCCGACCCCTGGGGAAAGGGTTCCAGATAGTAGGGGCTTCTATTTGTTCGCTGCGTGGACCAGACCGCTCGACCCCTTCCCTGGGCTTTCTTTCCGAGTCGTCTCCTGATAGCCACAGTGGCCGAACACATGGCCTCCATGACGACAGACTGGCTGCCGCGATTTCCCGAGGCGCTGGATGTTTGGGGTCAGGTCTTCCAGGAACCCCGTGCTGACAAAAGCAATGCATCGGATCAGGGGAAGGCCCAGCCCACAGAGGTACGCGCCAATACCGGACGCGCCTCCCCACTGTCAGGTATTTCGCGGGCCCAGGCCTTTGGCGGTAGCCCCGTCCTCGGACGGCGCGAGGCGCCGTGCGAGCAGGATGTCCCGAGCGCGTCGCCGGACGGGTGGCAGACGATCTGCGTCAAGGCGGCCGTCGCTCCGAAAGGGATAAGGGGAACAAAAACGGATTGGGATTATCATGTTCCAACCTACTTTAGCCTCGATCACCAAACCGAATTTCGAGCACCAAGAAAGGACCGAAACTGGGTTTGTTTCGCGTGGCGAGCCCCGGGAGGCGACACTCGTCCGACACTGTTTCGATACTTTCCTTGGCGTTCAAAATGATTTTTGACATGTGGTCCTGCAAAAAGCAAAGGGAACAACAAACATCAAGGCGGTCGTCGTTCCGAAAATGAGAAGGGGAAAGAGGAGGAGGAGCAGGAAGAAAGCAGTGCATCGGGGTGCTGCGGAGGCGGGCGTGGTCTACAAGATTACTTGAGCCGTAGCCACATGTGGCCTCGTACACTGTTGCGCGCGGCGCGGGCGCGGAACTGCTGCGACAGCGTGAGCGAGCGAGGAGGAGAGCAGTGCATCGGATCTCTTGGCGCGCGGCCCCGCGTCCTTGCGTGGCCGCGGCCCCCCGCGCGGCCGCGGCGTGCGGCGAGCACCGCGCGCGCCTTCGCGCCTTCCAGGGCGCAGCTTCCTCCGAGCGTTGCGCGCGCCATCACTGCCAAGTGTGCTTCCGGCTTCTTTTGCGGATGCTGCCGCGTGACGGCCCGGAGAGGACGTCGCGCGGCAGCGCAGTGGGCGACGATCCGTAGATTGGGTTCCGGGCCTGGCACGCGCAGTGTTCAGGTTCGCGCTCTGCTCGAAGGTCGCGTTCGATCTGAGTCTGCACACGCAGGGCACGCGTGGGAACGAACACGCCAGGGGTCCTGGTCCGATAGACACTGTCGAAGCGGAGATCTGCTGCGGCGAAACTAAAATCAACTAAGTGGGTTCTGGAACTGCCCGTGGGCGTCGCCGTCGTTTTTGAGATGTTCCCATCGTGTTTTCCACAATGTTCCTGGGCGGCGGACAGCTTCTATGAAGGTGGTCCTGTTTGCGTCTGTTGCCCTAACCATCATCCTATATTGTGGAGTCGGAGAGGTTTACGGGGCGACAAATGAACTTGCCTGCCCTCTTCCCAAATTACTGCGAGGCGGTTTGCGCGGCTTCGCCGCACACCACATTCTCAAGCACAATGTTTGATCATATCCCACACATCCCTTGCGCTCCTCATGGGCTCCATTTCTTTTCTCGTTGGCGTTGGCCGCGATGTTGGCCAATCCCCATCGTATTCAGCTAAGTGGAGCTGGCGTTCAGGGGGGGACGCGGCGATATCGGCTTTGCTTTGGGCCCCAAAGTGGTTTGAACCCCCCGCGTCCCTTGCGTTCGCTTGCGAACGCCGCCGGACTCGAATAAACAGTCCCACGCGCATTTGGGTAGATCCTCACTCGCATCCCCCATGTTTCTAGGCCAGCCAAGTGGGGTCCGATTAGAGGGGTCGGAGGATCGCGCCGCGCCGCCGATGCATCGACGATGCGGCTCGATGTGGAGCCAAAATTTATCCACGCCAATGGCGCGATGCATTGCCGACGAAAACGATGCATTGGCGATGCGACGCGACCCTCCGACCCCGTCCACGCGGACCCCATCTGGGCGGCCTCCAGTGTTGTGCCCCATGCCGAGGAGGAAAAAGTTCGCCAAGGATTTTGTCGGGCCCGACCCGCCCGAGCTCACGGTGGCGGCCTGCTACAGTCTGTTGGCGCAGCTTGGCCTCCGAGTGAGGACGTCCCGCCCCGCTTCGGCCGGCACCCTGGTGGGCGGCGTTCGCGCATTCACGTGGTCCACATTGCTCAGTTGAGAATGGGGCTTTGAAGGAATATGATCCTGAGGCGCTTCGCAGTTGTGTGGCCTTCTGGGCCTTCCCTGCCCTTGGGCCTTGGGCTTCAGGAGCGGTTCACGATGTTGTTATGCGTGGATCCCGGGGTCCCGGACCCATGTCTTCCACAGGAGCAAAGGACATCGTCTCCACCACCAACAGCGCGAGCAGCCAGGGGGGTCCTTTATTTGGTGTGGCCCCTCCTGTTCTGCGATGTCCCACTGGAGTCGAAACAGAAAACAAAAATATGTTTGGCGCTTTGCGCGGATTTCTTGGATCCGCGCGGTTCGCCAAAAGTTTATGTTAATGCCGTTTGTTGTGTTTCTACTCCTGCTTTGCGGCGTCCCATTGGAGACACCTCCAACCTCCAGCTCGGTGAAGCATCGTGGACGTGGACCTCCTCGCGGCAGGTGGCCCGCTGGTGATGTTGGGGTCTCGCTCATGCTCATGCAAGAGGGAGGTCCCGCAAAAGGCCATGTCACCGAGGCATCGAGATAGCGACCTCTCACTCTCGGCGGCTGCCAGCGGAATGCCCGTAGGGGCATGCGGAAGTAAGATGGTCGGGGGCAATTTTGTTCGCTGTTCGTTGGCCAGCGGAGGACCGGCAGAAGCCGGCGGGAACAACCGGCTCAGGGTGTCCAGAGACAGCCAGGTGCGGGCTTTCATCGTCAGTTGTTGCTCGTATCTGGAGGGGCCAATGCCCTGTGCCCGAGCATTTGGTAGCCTTCGGCCCATGCGGACACCATGCCTGGGTCCTGGAGTGGGCACGGGTCTTCTTGGAGGCCAGCCGGGGTCTCGAGAGGGCTCTCGGAGCCTGTCAGAGGCCCCTCTTCGGTGCCTCCTGGGAGCATCTTGCGGCATCTGAAGGGGGGCTCGCGAAGACTTCTTCGGGGCCTCGTGGGGCATCCGTGGGGAGCCTTCTTGGGGTCGAGGGCCGGCCCCACAGGCCGCCTCCAAAAGAGGGGGCCGTCTTGGGGTCCTCTTGCGCCCTCCATGGGGTCTTTGGGGCCGTCCTGCGGCGCTCTTTGTGAGCGCCTTGGACGCTCGATGACCCTCTCGACTTCGAAATGGCGGGCATCTGGAGCATAATACCACGCGGTCTCCGCAGGTTCTTCAGTCCGTTTGGCCTCCTGGGCCCGCAGGGCCCCCGAGATGGCCGAAGGGCCCCCCAAGAACCCCCAAGGACTGGCCCGGGGGTCGACCTTAATTAGCGGTGTTCGCGATTTGGTGGGCCGTTTTCGTTGCGATTCCGTCTTGGAGCAACGGGGTCAATCAGACTGGAAACACCAATAATAGCCCCCGACTCGGGCAGGAAAGGACAAGGGGGACGGAAATGCGTGCAGTGTCAACGATACTAATTCACCCTGCGAACGTATCGGCGCCACGCGGGAGCAGGGGGAGGAGGGGAGGGGGCAGAGGACGAAGGAGGGGTATGAGGGAAAGAACAGCTAAAGCAAATGATCGTCATATTGGTTGCGAACGCATGCAGACCACTGTTGCTTGGGCCTCCCTCGCCTCTGGCGGAAGTCCCAGCGCCGTGGCTCGTTGGAATGCGGATCGCAAGTGAGCCTTCGTAAAAAGCTGTTCTTTGGACAGGCCGCAATGTTACAATACAGTGCAGTTTTCCTCTTGCTCAGTGGTGCTCAGTGCCGCCTCGCCACGTCGTTTCAACATTGTTTTGTTTGATATTCGAGATACAAGTGAAGATGGGATGGGTAATATTTTCCTGGAGCGCCGTGCATGGAACCCATCAATTTTGCGATTGTCTGCTTGAGCAGCCTTGTTGCGTCCAGAATTGCACATGAGTTATGGTATCACGATTGTTTTGCGCAGCTTGATTTTCCACTTCGCGCAATATTCGCGTGTCCCCAGCACTTGCGTAGAGATTTGAAAGTACCCGTTGCTCCACCAACTCTGCTCGACAATTCTGGTTTGGCTGACATGTCTGACGCCAACAGACCCCCCAAGCATGTAACTTCCTCAACCATGTGTACTGGTGTCCCCGACGAGTCTGAAATCCTTCCATTTTGGCGCATATCAGTAGCAACTGTTTTGCCTCAGTTTAGCTCCAAGCCGTAGCGTGCACCTTCTTCGAAGACGTAGCCGCATAAAGCTTGAAGATGTTCTGTGTAGCTGGTGACGAGCATCGTATCGTCCGCGTACAACAGATCAGGGCACACCACTTACAGAGGCTATTCGATTGTGTCGCCTCTGTCACGCAATGTGTTGCCAATGTCGAAAAGATAGCCGATTGCACAATGATGAACAAAGAAGTGGAGAGCTGGCAGCCTTGAGCGATGCCAGCGCGCTGTCGCCGTCGACTTGAATCCCCCCACCACCTTTTAGTACACAGCATCGCTCACCACATTTACCTGCTATGAACTCCTCCACCCGCTCCTGGGTACCAAACATGCCTAGCGCTTTAATAACAGTATCGTGTTCTGTGATGTCAAGTGCTTTGGCCGAGTCCAGAACGATAGGCAGCTGTCCAGGCGACGCCGGCGCGTGCGCAGAGTCGGACGTCTGGCCCGCAATAGACATAGTTTGCGTGGTGTATCATCGAAGGCGGAAGCCAAATTGTGTTTGACGCATGCGTTTTTCTGCACCTTCATTGTGTAAGCATTGTTGTGCCAAAGACGCTACGACTTTATATCCGACAGGCAGTAAGGCTATGTGAATATATGTTCTGCAGCAAAAGAGGCTTGAAACTTAAACGAGGGAAAACGAAAACATACCGAAAGCGCGAACAATTGTTTTGGTCGATCCCTGCACAGAACCATCTTAGAACGTGTCCGGAGTGAGGATCTCTGACCGTGCTCCTGGGGCCTTTTGAGCACTCGCGCGGCACGCCCAGGAGGCGACCAGGAACGCGCGGACCTGGCTGGGGGGTCCCGGGCCACCCAAGGAGATACAAGATCGCCGCAGGGCTTTGCCCTCTTCGGGGGCGGCCAAGAAGGGGGGCGATGACAGGGGGGGGGGGGCGGGGATATCGTGACGGGGTCCATGATATCTCCCCAGATCTTATGGCGCATCTTCTTGTTTCGATGCGTCTTCAGCCCCCCCCCCCTGGGCCGCGCACGTGCCGCCGGCCATGATTTGCGCCCCCCTCTCTGGGACGCCCCCCTGTTGGGCGCCCCCGACCTCTGTCGCTGGCCCTGGTTGGTGGATTGGCTGATTGGTCGGCTGGCTGGCTTGCAGCTTGGCCTGTTGGCTGGCTGTCTGGGTGGACGGTCGGCAGGTTCGCCGGCTGACTGGCTGACGGGTTGGCGCGTAGATTTTCTGGCTGGTTGGGAGGCTCGCTTGGCAAGGGCGCCCTCGAGGGCGCGAAGTTATTCGCGCTTCGCGCTTCGCGGTTCGGCTCCGATTCCTCCTCGTCCTCCTCTTCTCCCCTGGGAGGCGGCGCGAGAGCGCGAAGTTATTCGCACTTCGCGCTTCGCGCAGCGCGAAGCGCGAAATTGGGAGCCCTTAGCTTGGTGGCTGGCGCGTCTGAAGCGCGGGACGATCGTTTTTGCAATTGCTCTTGGCCTCGGGAGAGTGGGCCCACTGTTTGGTTTTTGTTTCACTTGCAATCGTGTCGGGAGCGAGGGTCCATTTCTTTTGTCACCGCGGCCTCTTTAGCGCGGATCCGCAGTCTTTTTACGGCGGATCATGGCCTCGGAGCGCGGGTCAATTTTTGTTACCATCGTCGTCGTCTCGGGAGCGTGGAACCACCGTTTCTTCACAGGGGTTCGCGGCCTCGGGAGCGTGGATCCAGATCGTGGCCTCGGGAGCGCGGGTCCTCAGATTTTTTACCAGGGATCGTGTCCTCGGGAGCGCGGATCCTGAGTTGTTTTGCGTTGATCGTTGTTTTCGGGTCGCGGGCGCATTGCTTCTTACATGGGACCGTGGCCTTGTGGGTGCGGAGCCAATGGATTTTTGACAAGGGATCGCGGCCTTGGCAGCACGGCTCTTCGTTTGTGTTGTCACAGGGTGTCGTGGCCTCGGAAGCGCGAGGCCAGTGCTTCTGTACAAGGGATGCTGGCTTCGGAAGCGCAAACCCATAGTTTGTTACGTGCCCCAAGGCTTCGTGATCCCAAGGGAAGGGAGAGTGATTCTAGGCCGATCGGTTTCGCGCGCGTTGTCAGAGAGTTCGAAGTAGCAGAATTGGCGAAGGAGAAGGGCATGCAGGAAGTCAGCGTGCCGCTTCTGAAGCCTAGACGTGCGCTGCCCAGGAAAGCCAGGCCAGTTCCAAAGATAGGGGGGGCGATCAGGGCACACGTGGGCCAGGGCGTCTGCACGCAGGCCAGGCTGTACAAGCATGGCAAGTCGAACCAGTACATATTCAAGTCGGGCAGCCCCTCTGCGGGAGGAACGTTCAAATGCAGTCAAACATAGTCTGGTGACGATTGTTCTAGTATGCTTGATTATGTTTGAACTTGTCTTGGCTGTTCCTATGCGTCTTCCAAAACCCGCCTGTAGGAGGACATGCCCGACCTAAGTTCATGTGGTAGGCTCGTGGCCAGGCGGCACGTACCCAACGGCAGAGGTCCGGGAGTTGCAGCCAGTGGGGCGAGCAGCGAAAACACGTCGAGGAGAAGAACACCACGGTGGGCACAGGAGGAAGGGCCAGTGTGGCGGCAAGTTGCTCAGTCGAGTAATGTTTGGACACCCGATCGGACCCAGAGATTGACAAGCAGGGGCACATGAGAGGTACATCGGTAGCAGGGCAGGGGTCACGGACAGCGATGAGATGGATATGTTGATGGGCGGCGATTTGTCCGTGGACGGCTCAGGCAAGGGTGCCAACATGCTGAAGGTTTGAGGATGGTCGTACATATGAACCAGAGTACCCGTGGGAGTTGATACGGACTAGGTTCAAGAGATGGTAGTTGCGATGGAGGTGATGGCGAAAAGCCCAGAACAATGGTTTGTTGGAGGCAAGTGTGGTACAGTGCCAGGTGTGCGGTGGGATTTGTCAGTGGGCAGAGCGGAGGTGTATGCGTTATAGCACGAGCTTGAGAGTTGTGGTCATCGCGAACTCTGGCACGATGCTAAGGGGCATCAAGCGAGGCAAAAGGTGGTGCATATCACCGAGACGTGCAAATCCGAATGTGTGGCAACGAATTTGAACAGGCTGGACGAGACATACCCTGGATTTGCGGGGTTCCCGATCAGCAGAGTCAAGACTCACGCGACGGGGGTTAGCGTTTTGATGTCCCTCTTGCAGTACGACAACAAACTGGTGGACCAGGTGGCGAAGTGGGCTACGCACATGGTGAAGCCGCACGAGTGGGTGCTGGTCGACTGGAAACAAGAGTGGACGACGCCCAGGCGGTGCCCATCTTCGTCGGGGACTTGGCGCTCGCGGTGGGCATTTTCGAGGGCGACGACGTCCTGAGGAAGCACCAGACGGATGGGGAGCGGAGCAGTGACTACGAGAACGCACGACGGGAATCAGTCAGAACGCCAACCCGTGTCGTCTGAGCAGGATTCCCTTAGTTCGGGCGCAGGGTCAGCGTCGCAGGTTTTGCTGGAGGCGTCAGATTTGCCCGCGTCGTCGCTGCTGGACTTCCCTGACGCGGACACAGGGTCAGACGTCAGAACCGCCCACCTCGTCGCTGCGAGATCCCCCTGGCATACGAACATGAGAACACCGGTGGCGAGCGGCAAGCTGCGTCGTTGGCCACGGCTACGGCTACGACTACGGCGGCTGCTGTGGCATTGGCGGCGGCGGCGGCGGCGGCCGTCGACAGTCATGATGAGCCGGCACGAGATCAGGCACATACGTTCGGGCACCCCGTGATCCCAGCGAGAGTGAGGATGATTTGGCGGAGTTGGAAGCAGAAGATGATGTGCTTCCGGCAATCCGACGACATGGCATTGATCATAATGATACCTTGCTCAGAGGCTTGCGCCCGCCTGAAAATGGAATGCCAGCGCTCTGTCAAATTCAAACGTGACAAACTTAAGGATGCCCACCCCACCTGGACTACGATAAGCATTCTGGGAAAGGCGGCCGACGCCGACTTAGCCGTGTCCTGCGTGCCGCTTGGCACGCTCCCAGAGGCCGCGCTGAGAGACCCGGGAGCTTCGAACCACGGCGGGGCCCGAAGCGGCCTCGCCGGGCAGGCAGTGGAGCCCGGGGGAGCTGACGATGCACAATCCAGTGGTTCGAGGCCTGGAGTGCCTGAAGTCTGGGTGGGCGACGCCTAACAACAAGGGGTCGTCTGCGCCGACATCGGCGCGCAAGCTGCCCGCGCAAGGCCGCGCGTGAGCGCCGCCGTCTGCACTGCGGCGTGCCGCGCGGGCGGCCCTGCGCAGGCCGCCGCGTGATGTCGTCGTGCCACCTCGCGCGAGACCCGCTCTTGATCGTCGCTCTTGATCCTCCTCCTCCTCCTCCTCCTCCTCCTCCCCCTCCTCCTTGGGGGGGACCTGGATCGGCTCGCTGAGTGCTCCTGCGGCCCCCCTCCCCGCCCGACCTGTGGCCGCCTGCTGGGCCTGCTGCCGGCGTGGTCGCTGCCGGTGCGGCGATGTCTCGCTCTATACTCCCTCGGGGCCTCGGAGCCTCGGAGCGCCGGGCTGGTCACGTGCGTGGCCCTCGGAAGCCACGTTTCGGGTGGCGCGCGGGCGTATACACCTTCTGCTCGCGCTGTGGACGGCGGTGCTCAGGCCCAAGGTTTCGGTCCGTGCTGACAGGATTGACGAGAGGCCTCCGCTCCACCCGTGGAGGAGGACCGTTCTCAGATCCGGGGAACCGCGCGAGCTCCCCTCGAGGGAGGCCGAGGAGTTTTTCGGCGTTGCAGGTTTCGAATGAGGCCACTCTTGGCGCGCAGAGAGCGGCCCCGTCGCGTCAGCGCTTGCCTAGGGGAGACAACGTTCATGTCTGTGTGCTTTGACGAAAAGGGTGGCTGACAAATGACAACTTCCAACGAAGTCAATTTCAATGATCATCCACAGGCGATTTGCCTCGGTCTGCGGGTGATGACTAGTTTCCTGACGCTGCGCGTGTCCCACCAGCCCATCCCGAAACAGACACCGGGCGAGTTCCCCTGATCAGGGAGCGACGACAGGCAACTGCTCAATCAACGCAGCCACCGGGATGGGCCCGGAGTTTCTGGTTCATTCGAGAAACCCTACGAATCCTGGGATAGGGGTAGACATACCCCCCGTTACAACGTAGAGTGGAGCACAGAACGAAGGCCTTTCGTCGTTCTCGGCCTCTGGGGGCCCTCTGCGGGCCCTCCTGCGGTGGGAGAAAGTGTCTCAGGATGGTCAGCGGGGGGGCCCCGCATGGTACACATTGAGACGTCGTGGGGCCAGAAGGCCTGCAGTATCCCGCAGGAGGAGGGGGAGGGTGGGAGGAGGAGGAGGAGGAGGAGGAGGAGGAGGAGCCAAGCCTCTTGAAGCACCTTCCAGCACTCTTCAGGAGGGGTCAGGAGGGGCGGGGGGAGGCAAACCAAGCCCCGCAGGAGGAGGACAAGGAGCCTCCCCGTACCCCGCAGGAGGAGGAGGCGGAGGAGGAGGAGGATGACGAGGAGGAGGAGGAGGAGGGGGAGGAGAAGAAGGAGGATGAGGAGGAGGAAATCGTACCTGTAATCGGCCGGACATGTTCCCAGCACTTTGCTCACGAAAGCCTGTGAAAATCCGGACGAGGAGGAGTGTAACCAGCGCTGGCCTCGCAGGACCCAGCAGCGGGAGGAGCTCGTTGGCTTTATCAACAACCTCGGCAACGAAGGACGCCGTTTATGTTTAGGGTCCAGTGTGGGTTGGTAGAGGGCGAGGAGGAAGAAGAGGAGGAGGAGGAGGAGGAGAAAAGAGGGTCATGACAAGGAACGATGAGGGGAAAGGGGTGAGGAGGAAATGGAGGATGAGGAGTACAGAGGACAGAAGGGTGGTGATCAGAAGGAACGACGACGGCGATAATCAGAGTGAAGAGGAGGAGGAGGAGGAGGAGGAGAAGGAGGAAGAGGAGGAGGAGGACGAGGAGAGAGATGAGGAGGATGAGGAGGAGAAGGATGATGAGCATGATGATGATGATGATGATGATGAGGAGGAGGAGGAGGAGGAGGAGGAGGAGGAGAGGAGGAGGAGGAGGAGGAGGAGTGAGGAGGAGGAGGAGGACGACGACGGCATCATGAAGGAAGGGTGCGCAGGAAGGGCGCTGATGGGCAGGAAGGAGAAGGGCGGATGGGGGAAGGAAGGGGGGGCTGAGAAGGAGGAAGACGACGACGACCACCGCGTAGGACAACGAGGACGAGGACGGGGAAACGGAAGAGGATCAGGAGGAGGAGGAGGAGGAGGAGCAGGAGGAGCAGGAGCAGGAGGAGGAGGAGGAGGAGGAGGAGGAGGAGGACCGAGATGGGGAGGATGCTGTGCCCTCCTGCGGCCGCGCCCTGGACCTCGGAGGTGGCCGAGTCGAAGGCGGCCAGCGGCCGCCGCGGCCGGACTCCTGCAAGTCTGGGGCGGGGGAAGGGCCCGGGCTCCAGGGGGGCCTCGTCGGCGCTTCGGCGTGCCTCGAGCCGCGCTCGTCACCACCCACCAAACCACCCCAACCCAACCCGAAGGCCTCAATTTGCCCTCCATTTCCAGTGGTGGGGGGGGTCGGGGAACGTTGTAAAAACAGATGGAGCCCGTACCCCCCCCCCCCCAACCCGAATTTCGGGTCAAATTCGGGTCTTCGAGTTGGGTTGGGGTGGTCTGGTGGGTAGTCAGCTTGTCTAAAGGCCACGCCGGGGGCGGTCCTCAGGCGTTTCGCGAGCTGTGGGTGCGGCTCGCGCCCTGCTCGCTGCCCTGGCGTGGCTGGCGCGCTGGCTGGCGAGTGCATGGTGGCTCGCCAGCCGACGCCAACGGGAGGCAGCTCCAGAGTCTGGGCTCATTCAAAAGAGCCACAGGCGCTAGTTCAGCCAACCGTGCCAACATCTCCAGTGCCCCCGCACAAGCTTTGGCGCGGAGCGCCAAGAGTTATGCTTGAGACGTTTCTGATTCGTGTTCCTTTTCTTCTTCTGCTTATGTTTATTCTTCTGCTCCTTCTAATAATGCGATGCGTCAGAGCAATGGGAGAGAGAGAGAGAGAGAGAGAACGAAAAAACAAGCAAAAGAAGAGAGAGAGAGAGAGAGAGAAAGAGAAAGAGAAAGAGACATACCGACAGCCCATACCTTGTTTGAAGATGCTCCGGCTTCCCGGGGGCCCTCGTCGCCACACGACAGCATCCGCCGCAGGATCTGAGGCAGAGCGCACCCCGGCAGGTGTGTGTGAGTGGAATAGCGTGAAGCCCGGCATGTCCATCTACAGGTGGAATATTCAAAAATAGTCCAGGGACGATTGTCGATTATTTCTTGACAATGTTTGAGCATTGTTTGACTATTGCTTGTTTTTCCTCCAAATTCCGCATGTAGGGGGACATGCCCGATCTAAGAGTGGTGGGGTCGGCATCATTGTGATCCATCGGACCAGCGGCCATGCACACCCCAGCACAGCTGCGCACTGACGTCGAATGCAACACAAATAGCGAAGCCACGATTTCCTTGGCTGGACTGCCTCACTGCCTCACGGAGGCCGCCCTGTGGGCCTTTGTGTGCGGGCTCCCGAAGGCTGCATCAACTTCCCGGACTTCTTGAGGCTGATGCGCTGGATGTTGGACGGCGATTTTGCCGGGATCTGCGGGGTGATGAGCCCAGGCAGTCTAGGATGAGTTGTCGTGTCCGTTTTGGCCCACGTTCTTTGGCCGGCATTTGTGACGCCTGGTGTTATTTATGATTGTTTGCGGCGGCCGACGGGTTGCGCCTTGTCTCGCAGGCCTAGAGGTTGACACCAACACCAATATTGGCGTTGTGCCTCCACCGAGGGAAGAAGATCCCGATCGCGGTAATGGTGGTAATAGTTTGGCTTCCAAGGCGACCGAAATATTGCACCCAACTCCGAAATCCAGGATCATCTTCCCCATGTGGAGGCACCCCCCCTGTGTTGGTGTTGGTGCCCACTTCTAGGCCTCCAACCGTCACTCTTTCAGCCTGCTGCGTGCCCGCCAGTCCCCTGCGCCTGCCTGCCAGCAGGGGATGCTGCAGAGGTGCGCGCCCGTGCGAGCGCGTCGAGAGCGGCGGGCACGCGCTTTTGCAGGTCGGGGGGGGGGGGGGCGAGCGAGCCAGCGACACATGCAGGGCCTCCTCCTCCTCCTCCGAGCGGGCGGGAGGACGACCGCGCAGCGGAAGCGGCAAGGGACGCGGTGAGGAGGAGAGGGAGGAGGGGGAGGAGAAGGGAAAAGCGTGTGCGTGCGCGTTGGCGTTGGCGTGCGCGTGCGTGCACAAATGAGTGTGTGTGTGTGTGTGCGTGTGTGTGTGCGTGTGTGTGTGCGTGTGTGTGTGTGTGTGTGTGTGTGTGTGTGTGTGTGTGTGTGTGTGTGTGTCTGTTCTCGCGGTCAGCTGATTTCTAGCGCGTCCCGTCCCAGTCGAGTTCGGCCCGCTTGGGGAACAGTGTGTGAATGTGTGTGTGCTTGTGTGTCAGTTTGCGTGTGCGTGTTTGCATGCACCTCCTGAGGGTTCAACTCAGCATCGGTGCTAATATATCCGTGGTTGAAAACCAGTCGTGGTCGTCGTCGTCGTCGTCGCTTTGTGGGGGCGTCGGCCCTAAGAGAGAGATCTGCTTGGGCGCGCGGAGGGCTTCGCCAGCAGCGCGGCGCGATCAGCTCTTGTCTGGCCCTTGGCCAGGGGGGGGCGCCCGAGGGGCAGTAACTTCGCACGCCACGCGGCTCACGAAAAGCGTTCAGACTTGCAGGACGAGGGATATTTCGGCGGCGCTCTCGGGGGGGGCAAGTGAGAGGGGGCAGACCTTTTTCAGAAGTCTCGGAAGGCTTCCAGCCTTTCTGAGAGGTGATCTGTCAGGCGATCGCAAACATGGATCAAGGGGGCGTGGATTAGCGACGGGCTCCGTTTCCATTGGACATCGCGGATTTCCGCCGCCGAACGAGGCGGCACCTGCCGCATTTTGGGGAGGGCACCTTCCCCGATCCATGGATTTGGCGACCGCGCGCCAAATCCATGGATCGCCAATCCATGTGTGCGCGCCTCCCGAGTCTGACCCTTCGCAGAACGACAGAGCCTGCTTCTCGGAAAGCCGGAGGGCTTCCGAGCGGCCCCTGCCGCCTCTGAGGAGGCCTGCCCCCCCTCTCACCTCCCGGCCCTCCCGGCGCGCCGCCAAAAGGGCAGTAGCTTCGCACGGCTGGCGGCGCACGAGAGGCGGTCGGACATGTAAGATGAGGATATCGAAGACGCCTGCGGCGAAGCACCGCCGCCCCCTGCCCTTGTGGAAGCGCCTATGTGGCCGACAGCGGGGTTAGAGCTTGGCCAGGCGATCGGGCCAGTTGTTCCCCGAGTCGGTTTGGAGAGCTTTCGGGGAACGCGTGGAGGAGCAAGAGGTTTGAAAGCGCCCTTGTGGCCGAGCGTTGTGGCAAGAGCTGTGCCAAGCTATCGGATTTGGAGGCCTCGTGGGCCGTCTTGGGCTGGTCTTTCGGGCCTCTTGGGCCGTCTTGGAGCGCCGGAAAGCCGAACAGGCGAGAACATCAAAATCCTTCAAAAGCCTTGGGAAATCAATGGTCGTTGCCTCTTGTGGCCCTCTTCAGGGGTTCTTGGAGGCCTCTTGTGGCGTCTCGGAGGTCTTTTGGGCCATCTTGAGGCCATATTGGGCGTCTTGGAGCGATCTTGGGGCGACTTGGGGCCCTCTTTGACAATTTTGGGTGCCTCTTGGAGCCATCTGGGCTCGTTTGGGGGCCCTCCTGGGCGGGCTAGGCCGACGCGAGCGATTCTGGCGGACCCGGGAAAACCCAGGAAGCGATTGGTCCGGGCCTTGAAAGGGTCACAATTCTGGCAGCAGCAGCAGCAGCACAGCCCTCTCAGTGCTGCATTAGCCTTGGGGCACTCCACTTCGTGCCAGAGGCACGAGGAGGAGGAGAAGGAGGAGGAGGAGGAGGAGGAGTCGTTGGCAGTGAGTCTGCCTTTAAGGCGGCGGCGGCGGCGGCGGGGCAGGTCTAGGCATTGCAGCACACGAGCCGGAGTAGAAGTCCATCGTAACTGATGCGGCAGGCATTGTAACGCCAGTTTTTTTGGGCCCATCGACTTCAGAGCGTAAGACCTCAGGGCCTTACACTCCAAGGCCTTGGAGTCAAACGAGGAGGAGGAGGAGGAGGAGGAGGAGGAGGAGGAGGACGAGGAGGAAGACGAGGAGGAGGAGGAGGAGGAAGAGAAGGAGGAGGGGGGAGGAGGAGGAGGAGGAGGAGGAGGAAGGAGGAGGAGAGTAGGAGGAGGAGGAGGAGGAGGAGAGGAGGAGGAAGAAAAGAGAGGATGAGGGAGGGAGGAGGAGGCAGGAGGAAGAGGAGGAGAAGGAGGAGAGGAGGAGATGGAGAGAGGAGGAGGAGGAGGAGGAGGAGGAGGAGGAGGAGTGGGAGGAGGAGAAGGAGGAGGAGCAGGAGGAGGAGAGGAGAAGGAGGAGGAAGAGGAAGAGGAAGAGGAGGAGGAGGAGGAGGAGGAGGAGGAGGAAGAGGAGGCAGAGAGGAGGAAGAGAAGGAGGAGGAGGAGGAGGAGGAGAAAGAGGAGGAGGAGGAGGAGGAGGAGGAGGAGGAACAGGAGGGTAGAGGAGGAAGAGAGGAAGAGCAGGGGATGAGGGAACCAGGGCGTAGGCGCGCTTGCGTCGCTCGCCTGGGTGCCCCCCCCAGGACAGGGCCAGAGATCCGGGGGCCACTCGCGGGGGAGTTTTCTCCGCTCTGTTCGCGGACTGCCAGCCTGCCCGTGCATGCCGGACACGGTGAGGCCAGAAGCTGAACATACGGTCAGCCCGCATAGCAGGGATGGGCAATTTCCCCAAGGGTGTCTTGGCATCCTTGCCTCCTCGGCCCATCCTTGGTCACTGTCGCTGGTCGCGCCTCTCTCGAAAAGCTTCGAAACGGCTCTCCAAGGCCCTTGCATCCTTATCGTGCATCCTTATTATACGGGTCCACTGCTGCGTTCCGTGCGACTCTGTGCGACCCCCCCCCCCCGCGTTCGTCACTGCGGCCAAGTGTTTCCTCGACAGCATCTGGCAAGCTGGCACGGGCCTATTGCCCACACTTTTGCATGCACTAGCCGTGCGCGCAAAACTTGTTTTAATCAGCGGTCGTTGGGGAGTTTGTCAGGGGTGTCGCCCATGCTTGCGAGGGGAGCGCTTTCTGACCTCGCGATGCTGCAGTCCACCGCCGTTCCATGACCAGCTATCGAGAAAAGCAGTTCTAGGATCATTCCGAGACCTTCGACGCCCTACTTGCTTCGAGTCGTTGGCCCTTGGAGCCTTCCAGGACCAATAGCAGTGGGTCCTGAAGTTGGCCCCCAGAAGCAGAACATTGCGAGACATATCTGGCGCGTTTTTTTTCCGAGGTGCCATGTGCGTGGGAATACAGCCTTTTTGCTACACATTGATTTTGCAGTGGCCCCTGGCCACCCGCCGTTGCCACCTCGGTTGCACTTGCCGCCGTCCTCACAACCCAGTGGTCACGTTGGCCGCCATGGCTGCCTTGCGTCAAGGGGTGGCTGGACCCACTAAAGCTTTGGGGCATCGCAGGAGGGATGACCATGTACGACAACTATGCCCCAAGATTAGTATACCAAACTTGCCTGTCGCATGTGCATGCCGTGTGGTTACCGTTGGCTTCTCTCGAGCTGCCTCTTGGTGTGCCCGACCAGCGTTGGCTGAAATCGTGTTGTGTATTGGGGCTGGTTTGAAGGGCCCTGGGTCGATTTAACGGGGGTCGTGGGTTCCAATCAGTCGGTCCTGGGCCATCTTGAAGCCATCTTGGATTGGTCTTGGGCCGTCTTGGTCAAGTCTTGGCGAGGGCTGCCGCTTTATTGGAGGCATGTGGGGCCTCTTTTAGGCCGCTTTTGTAGTGCTTGTGGTGTTTGTGGTGTCTTGCGTCCGCTGAGGGCGAAGACGAATGCGACGCCTACACATGTTGCTTGTGTTCGTGTTGCCTGCCTCCCAGTGACCTCTCGAAAAGCATCGAGAGCTTCTCGGGGTCCTCTCCGAGCCTGTTGGACGCGTCGTGGAAACTTGTCAGCGGTTGCCTAGGAGGTTTTGGAGACATGTTGGGGCCCTCTCTTGGCTATCGTGGACGCTTTGGGCCCGTATTTTCTGGTCATGAGGTCGTTGATGGCGTTGGGAATGAGGCTGAGTCAACGCCTCATGCAAGGGATTACAGAAAGGAGGGATGGTGGCTAAAAGCACTACAGGAGTACAGCCACACAATACATCGCATTATGCCATTCCGCTTCTTTACAGGGGGCATGATACTGCGCACGACGTGCACCATAACATCATTGGAAGCGGTAGCGTCTCGAGAAATCGCCTGGGCCCCCTTTGTGGCCCCTCGTGATGTAGTTTTTGCTCTTCAATGCAAGAGTGCTGGCCGGAGCCGACCATCTGGAGGCTCGGCCTTTCAGGTACGCGTGCCTTTGCACGTGTACGTGCATTGTCTCGGGATCTTGACGCGCTCGATGTATATAGCCGCCGCACCTCGACCAGCTGGATGCCGCGCGCAAGTATTGGCAGTTGTTTTTAACAGAGGCGCGGACTCATCGCACCGATGCGGGCACGTCCTGGGCCAGAACGTACGGGACTGGTAGACGACAAGTCGGGGGGGAAAGGGATTAAGGTGGCTGTGGAAGAAGGGGGGGAAAGCTGACAGAATGGTGCCCAGAGTTCCAACTTCTTGGGGAAATCAAGGGTGGGGTCATCATTTGCTGCGCATGGGTGCCGGTTTCGGATTCTGAGGCATCCAACATCGACTTCGGAAGAAAAGCTTGCCTCAGTAGTGAAGCTGCAGAAACATCGGACAGAGTAGTAGTCATGTCTGCGTCAGTTTTCTTCTATATGCACGGATTGGCGCTGATGTGATTGACCACGCAGTTGGGCATCGTTGGCTGTCGATTGTTATAAAAAAGTTATGATTGCGTCAGTTTTTAGTACGACGGCTAGTCCAGTAGAGTCTTTGATGATGCCCCTTTCAAAGCTCTCTGCTGGCACTAAAACTCGTCCCTCCCCTCCTCGCCCTCACTTTTCCCCTCTTTCTCGTCCTCCCACGGTCGGCTTGTGCG